GAAAATAAAACAAATAAATAGACATATTATAATAAATACAACATGTCAAAGAGCATTCAAAAATCGTTCACTCCCTCCACTTCACAAACATAAACAGTAAACAGCGCTCGCTAATCTACCACAACTAATCCTTAACCACTAACAATTTACTACAAAACAATCTCGAATCATTCCCACGAACTTTAAATTCGAAAGTAATTATTTAAAACCACCCCGTTTACATTTAACAATGAATTAAAAAGCGGTTAAATTGAAATAATAGTTCGTTGCTAGCAGGTCGCGTGGCGTCCGGCCAGTTTGACGTAATCAGATCAAATGAGTAAAGCGCGGTAATGCACTGTGACGTATGCATTCTGATTCTGTTTTTGAATTCGAAGCTGTCAGTTGCAAACTTTTTTTAATTTAGTTTTAATGGCTTATATGTTGAGTGCGTGAGGTTGGATTTAAAATTGTTGTCTGGTAATTATGTTTTGTTGTGTAAATTAGTTAGTTGTGAAAAACCAACTGTATTTATATTATTAGCCTATCGCTTTTCACTTTTTGTTGGTGTAACTGATTTATGCATGGGAATATTTAGTTGCCATATTGATTTTTTTTTACTTTTACATCAACGCGGGGTATAGGTACCGATGAAGTAGCTTTAAAGCTAACTTACATAAAACTAAAAGTCGTAGAAGGTTACTATCCGGAAGGTCTTTAATTTTGCAAGAAAATTATACAACTATAGTATCACATATTGCATTTATACACCAGTTCAAGTATACTTACGTAAAAACAATCGCTTTTCTCCTATAGACACGTTTATGAAGTCAAACGATTTAAGGACTGTCAATCGTGTCCAAACGACATGTCTTCCGAAGCACCCAGCGCAGCACAAACGCCAATCTTCAAGCCTTCACATCGTCCAATTTGCATGGGACAATACGGACTGTCCCACAGACACAGCTCGTCCCCTCGAGCACGAGTGACGTCATCGTGACGACGTCGAGTTGACAAGGCGCGCCTCACTGACCATTCATGTCGAGAATAGGGGATTGAGTGACAAGTATCAAGATTGTTTGGCCCGAGTTGTGAACTGTCAAATGTTAGTTTTTTTTTTTGTGGCCAGTTATTGATGAGTGGTTGCGGTACTGTGACGTATGTGTAGGTGTAAAAGTTGTTTAGTTTTTCAGTTGCCATAATAGTACTTGTGCTGATGTACCTGTAATAGTAGAAAAGAAATCCATTGTAAATCTTACCGTTTATCGTGCTGACTTACAACAAATAGCTTCACTAGAGGACTGACCTACAGACTGACATATGTTGTTTTGACGTTCAAAAGTGCTTTCCTGGTCTAATTGATATGTATGATTTTGACTTTGCCTTTGACTTTACAATAATGATAGCGCTAGGTAATTTACGTGTAAATCAAGATGACCTTCTAATATTTCTTTTCAAGGTGAAGAATTAATCGACTGCTCAATAGAACTATAACGTATATATGTACTATACTCAAGAAAATACACCGAGCGTTACTCTACCTCGAATCTAAATTATATCATTATATTGTCTCATTTTAGAGGTAAGATGCTTTAAAGTCCAAGTCTTTTTCAAAAAATCTCAGTAATAGCACGGAGTCTGGAATTGTGCCCGGTATATGGCAATAAGCTCACCCACTATTACATGGGACTCATAACATAAATAGTGAAAAGTTGGTGTTACATTGTACAGCGGCATTAAGTGCCGTAATATACACCTCTGCCTACCCCCTTCGGGGATAAAAGGCGTGATGTTATGTTATGTTTATGTCTACTAAATTATTCCATACAAGAATCGAACCTGCAATACATTTAACAGCAGCCCATCACTTACTTTCTACTGAACTTAGAACTAACTTACCCAGTCCCGCCAATAACTTGTCCATCTTCCACAAGCCACGTACTAAGTATCAGGCAATACGCAGTACACAGGCTGGTCTCTGTCCAGTGAAGCCAGTAATTAGTCTGTCGGCTCGATAACAACCTCCATTGTGCATGTAAGACGCATTGTGCTGCATGGGGGCGCTGTGTGCGCTTACTGTACTGTGACGTCACTAAGACAAAGTGCGTGTAGTAGATAGTGTCATGTAGTGGTGATGGGGATGTATGGGTATTTTGTTTGGTGCGTGGTGACAACTGTACAAGAAAACAGTGCTTGCGTTGTGTTTCTTCGTCTAAGTAAGGGCAACTAAGAAGGCGTAATTATTGACTCTTATAATTAACATATA